GCCAGGGCACGTGCCCAGGTTGTGGGCTCGATGCCCAGTCGGGGGCGTGCAGGAGGCAGCTGATCAATGACTCTCATCATGGATGTTTCTATTTCTCTTTCTCTCTCCCTCTCCCTTCCTGTCTCTGAAATCAATAAAGACATATTTAAAAATATATATCCTCAAGTGAGGATTAACAAACAAACAAACAAAAAAAAACAAAAAAAGAAATGAAAGCAGTTGTGAGCAAGTCACAGGCTTCAGATCCCGAACTTACGTCATAACCAATTTCCTAGCTGTGACATGAGGATACAGTCAACTTACCCAAGGGATTGGCACCAATAAATACATTGGCAAAGTTCATCTTCGGCATCTGGGTCAAAGACTGGATGTAGTTTCTTGCCTGTAAAAACAAAGGGTTTTCAAAATGGTTTTCTGTTCAACGATGCTACTTAACGCGTCTTGGTCCTGTCCAGGAACAAGTGTTAACTGACAGTCTGCTGGCTCCAATGTTCATGACAGTTTTCGAGAGTCATTCAAGACTTGACCCTCTCACTGCCGTCCTAACTCCCCTTATTTATGATCACTACCTCATTTATATCCCTGCTGTGTCTATTGCAGTTATATTTCAAGTGGCCAAGAATGCTAACCAATTAAGTTCCTTTTCACTAGCTTTCTGATCAGAGGATCAGAAGCTAAAAAAATGAGGCCAAGATATCTAAGAAGTAGCCCTTTCTGAGACGGCCTTCCTAAAAGCTAAAATCGGCACAGGGACTGGTATTCCTAACGGAAGTCTAGGACTGGCAGTCTCTCGATGGTGCCTGTCTTAGTGGGCACTCTCAGTACACCAAAAGGGTGCCAGTATTAAACCTTGCTAACAAAGTAATCTTGGTAACAAGTAAGCATAAGCTTAGTTTGGTATCTGAAGAAGCTTGAAGACATTTAAAAAATACTAAGCCAATAAAACAATAAAGAATAGTGGATTATAAGTTACACAGCCCAGGCAGGAATCCTTCCCCTACCACGTATAAGCTACATCTTCTTGGGCAAGTCTGAAATATCAATGACCTCATCTGCAAAATATTAATATTCGATGTTAGTATGTGGTCTGCCTATATCATACGGTTACTGTGCTACTCAAGCAAGATAAAACCCATTAAAGAGCTTCAAACTATATTTCTGACATAAACAACACCTATATCACCAATGGAGTTGTTCTAAGTTTGGTCCCCGGGCTGCGAGAGGCTTGAATTTGAATCTTGACTTTAACCCTTTGGGCAGGTTTCTTGTTATCTTTGAAGTCTGGAGTTCCTGAGCTGTAGAAAGGGATCAGTAACAGTGCCCGCCTCACAGAGTGGACTGAGGACTACAGATAACAAACCAGCACTTCCTTAGCACAGCACTGGGCCCCAAGGCAGGGCTCAGCAACAGCCGCTATTGCTGCTGCCTTGAGAAGGGAAGTCGGCCCTCATTTCCTAAGGATGTTCCCAACTTCCCAATTTCTGAGCTTCATTCTAAGGAATGCAAGGTGCCAAATTTTTTCAAGGACTGACTAATCAAGACAAAAACAAAAACTGGTCTTGAGGATACTTACATAAATACAAATGTAACTCATAAATGTGTGTGCCAGATACTAGGTATTAAACTATATCGATGACCTTCCGTTTCAATGAATAAATCTCATTATCAGTCACATCTGAGTAGTTGAGATAAAACTTCTTTGAATCTATCTTAATCACCTCCTTACAATTTCTCAATAGTAAAGGTGCTCATGTATGTGCATTCTCACACACACACACACACACACACACACACACACACACGCACGGGCAGAAGAAGTTCTGGTTGCTAGGCCAACTTCACCTTCTTCTCATTACATGTGCAGTGAATAGGCCAGACCCACTTTGAAAAGCAGTTGAGGATCTTTCCGATTCGAAAAGAAAGTTCTAGGAACTGAATATCTACATGGCTGCAATCCCTTCCTACTTGAGCACATAGAAAAAAAGGTTGAAGGGAAGCCAGAGGTAAAGAGAGACCTGACTCATGTAGAGAACAGTCATTCCTCTAACAACACAAAGACAGACAAGAAGACGACCTCGGTGTAGCTAAGGGGGGGACCTCTGTGATGCCAACCTGGTTCCCAGAAGTATAGGGCACCTTAGAAAAAAGTGCCCCAGCCATCTCTGGTGATAAAACTAGAGTTAGATTAAGTTAAGAACTGGTTAAAAAAAAAGGGCACCTACCCCTACATAGGTATTCATAATTATTCTATATTATTTATGCATTCTTTTAAGTACAGTACTTATATTTAAGTACTTATAGTACTATATTTAGTGGTTAGACATTTTAGTTTTTTTAAATGAAGAATCCTCTTTTGGTTATTAAAAAAACCTGATGACTAGGAAAGCATGCTAATGCCTTCGGTGACCACACCTCTGGCTGAAAGCCATCCGATGCCCTAATCGCAGGCACAGAACCCAGGAAACCACAGTCTCTTGAGCACTAAGTTCATAAAACACAAATAGAAAAGTAACATCATTTCCATGTACAGGTCTATAAATTGTATTCTCCATCCACAGGACTGGATGACATTTTATCCCAAATATCAACACCTTGCAAATAAACAGCACAGGCTGTGGGTACCTCAGTAGCCCTCAAGGCACATGCAAGCATTCAGTGACAATAACAACTGTGTTGGTGACACAGTGGCAATCAATCAATCAATCAATCAGAAAGTGGCCCTCTGCACGACTGATCCCTGTGAAGTCTACTGGTTCTCACCTCATGGCTTGGCATCCTGTTAATGAGATAAGCAGGGGGTGTCCCCGTCAGACGCATAATCTGCTGAAGCTGGTTAATATCTTAGATGCCTAGTCAAGGGCATTGTTAAACATACGGTGCGAAAAATAACTTCCAATTCAAGTTTTAAAAGGCCGAAAGCCACCCCCAAACAAATAAAAAAACCTACTCCCCTCCCGCCCCACCCACCCAGCCTGAGCCCAAGGCTG